CAACCTAACAGCGATGGCCTCCAACCTAACAGCGATGGCCTCCAACCCAACAGCGATGGCCTCCAACCTACCAGAGGACGACTTCAAGTTCTTGGAGAAATGGAAGTTGCCGGAGTATCTGACGGCGAAGCCTTCGGAGGAAGCCAAGAATGCGGTCAAGAGACAACTCATGTTGGCTTCTCGGCGCTCGAGGGATCGAAAACGCGCGTGGCTTAACGGGGGGCATGTCGTCAGTTTGGTTTCAATGGCGAGCCGCTCTTTTGGGATTGACAAAACGGTTCAGTGGCTCACAAGGTTTGAGGGAAGCTGTCGCCTATCATGTGTTAGATTTATGAAAGGCTGTGACACATTGTGATACTGGTGTGGCAAGTTGACAGCGTTTAGTTTGGGATCCTTTGCTGCAAGGATGCCATTGAACAATCATAATTGTGCCGACTGCATTCTATTTGAGGATCAGCCTTTGCTCTCGCCGGTCACGATTTGCTTACCAAAAAACATGTCCCCAGTTGTTAAAGTTGAGCTGTGTCCTATCAAGATGTAGGTGGAGGCAACGGCACTTCACATACAAAAGGCCTGTTTACAAAGATGTTCGTGGGAGAAGGGTTACTAGGTTGGAGGCCATTGCTAGTAGGTTGGAGGCCATTGCCAAGTGTCCACCCAAGTGCGCCAAACTGCCCACCCTCGTGGCCCAGAAGTTGGAACAAGCGGCCGGGTACCGAGTGGCCATGAGATGATCAACAGCTACAGTGGCCATGCATTCTTGGAAAAGTTTTTCACGTTCTTGCCGGGAACAAGGACGCTACTAGGGGCTCCTGGCATCGCTACTAGGAACAAGGACGCTACTAAGGGCTCCTGGCATCCCTGCTAGGAACAAGGACGCTACTAGGGGCATCTCCATAGTCTGAGGTTTACAAGAGCTACTTGAAGGCCTGGCGAGTAGCCTTGGACCAGGACAACTCCAACCGTTGCAGCTGGCCAGAGTTCCAGGCGGCCTGTCGAAAGGTCGGTGCCTTGGCATGCCTTGGCGGCCACTGAGTGGCTTGATGATGTGCTAGTTGATGTGCTGGCTACCTGCCAAGCCTTTTGGTTGCGTGCAATTTGCTTGTGCTGCATATGTGTGTGATATATCATTGTATATATCACATTTGTGATCATTTGAGTTACAAAGCCCGGACCATATTGTGAAAATCATTCCAAAGAGATTCAACCTTGAGCAGGGTGAGCGTTTGCAGCTGGTGGCTAAACAGATTTGGCAAAGGAAGCGGCTATAGGTTCAAGGGCCAAGGGCATCAAACAGAGCAAGTCATCACGGACATCACCTATAGCCAGAATCTACTGCATTGTTTGTATTGCAGCAGGTGCGCGCACTAAGATAAAGTACGTACGAAGGCCGCCAAATGCTTAGAAGAAGCCTGAGTAACCAAGGTATTAATGAACAGGCCTATATACTTAAAACTGGAACGGATTCCAACAAATCCAAACTTCCCAGGTTCCGACAGCTCCAAAAGTGGCCGCAGGCCTAAATCATCCCACAGGAGCCTGACGGCTGACGACCTCTACAAGTAGAAGGTGGCTACAAAACTCACACATGTAGCAGGTACACGAATGGACCTCTCCATCCGCTTCCCCTCCATCGATCTAGCTTCGTTGGACAAGGTTCATCGCTGGAGGCCTTGTCCCCCTGCTACTACATGACAAAAGAATTAATTCAATAGACGACTTCATGCATAATCCAAAGCCACACACACATCGTATGGGTTTTGCAAATCAAGACTTCGACTAAGCAACACTGGACATCCAATAGGACGGAGCTCCCTGCAAAGCTGGCACAGACACCTCCGATCTCCTGGCTCCATTCCGACATTCCCTAAGGCAACTTTATGGAAACCATTATATGATATGTGGATGGGGTTTGAACCAAGAGCTCTTTATACCAGCACATACCAACGTACCATTTTGTGTTTATGCAATCACCTCCCGGCGCGTATGACCAACATCGCCGCTGAGGATTCATGGGGGATGTCGCAGGCGCATGGCGTGCGTTGGACGCGGACTTGTCGGGGAGCATCACATTGCTTGAGATCGACAGCGAGACCCTTGGGTGATCTTGAGTGCAACTGGCTGTTCTTGCCCTTATGATCTCAATGGGCGCGCTTACCCCCAAATTGAAGCCATGGATTTCCAACACTTCCACTGTAAAATTGTCCTCCTGCCATCGCATCCATAACACCTCTTCCGGTGTCCTCGCATCAAAACCAACCGGCCCAAGTGTCCAACTCCTCGGTCGAGTCCCGGTCCATCCCACTGCCGACTCCCCCCCCCCGATGTCTGAGGAGCAGTTCGGTTTTGGCGAACTTCAAGGCCTGGGCAGATCAAAACTTTGGTGGTATCCGCTCGGCCTTCGCGGTCTTCGACGACGACGGGTCCAACAGCGTGACGCTACGTGAGTGGCGGCATGCCTGTCGCATCTATGGGTTCAATCAAGGTGCATGGGGCAGCTTTAGGTTGTTTGTTGGTGTGTGTGTGTGTGTGTCACACCCTGTTTCTAAGGGTTTTACAATGACTATCCCGCTTTTCTCGCAAGCAGGGGGCATGGCAGCTGTTTCCCTAGCCATGCCAACGAAGCTATGGGATTCAGCCGGAAGGGAATGTGGACGCACATTCCTGTACCTGCGACGCAACTGTTGATCACGCTGTCTAATTGATCGGTTTGATTCATGGTCCTTCATGTTTCCACCCCCGAAACCTTGGTTTTGCAGCTGAGTTGAACCGCTTGTTCACCACCGCTGAGGTTTGCAGTCAAGGGAAACAGCCTTTGTTAAAACACCTACAATTCCTTGGACTTTTCGCCATACTGTTCCATCGCCATCCTTCCCATCGTGGCAATTGAGTTAACTGAAAACCAATGTCAGAGTGTGAGCCGCTCAGTCTTCCCACTTGGGTGCTGGGTGTGATCCCCTTCAGTGGGGCGCTGAATTCACGCTGGAAATCGTGTAATGGATTTACTTTTCTCCACTGATTACCCTTCTTCAATTTCTTAACTGAATTAACGGAGTTTTGAGCCGCCGGGCGATAAACGACGGACTCAATCAATCTTTCTGCACTCTCATGCGTCATGTGTCGTTATTGCATGTTCCCAACTTTTAATCCGCAGCCATTTGCTCAGCTTTCACACGTATCTCGAGGCTTTACACTGCATCTCATGTCTTTTACACCTACACTTTTCCACCCCACAACGCAACAGCTGCGGCAGAAGCACTGGTCCAACTCTACGCCCAAAAAGGGCATGACCTGCAAGCGTGCAGGCGGTTTTTGAAAAAGGTCCGTTTTTCCACTGCTCTGCATCCGCGCCAAGTTCGGCTTGTTGTGTGTGTCGCACCCTGTTTCTAAGGGTTTTACAATGACTATCCCGCTTTTCTCGCAAGCAGGGGGCATGGCAGCTGTTTCCCTAGCCATGCCAACGAAGCTATGGGATTCAGCCGGAAGGGAATGTGGACGCACATTCCTGCACCTGCGCGCAACTGTTGATCGCGCTGTCTAATTGATCGGTTTGATTCATGGTCCTTCATGTTTCCACCCCCTAAACTTTGGTTTTGCAGCTGAGTTGAACCGCTTGTTCACCACCACTGAGGTTTGCAGTCAAGGGAAACAGCCTTTGTTAAAGCACCTACAATTCCTTGGACTTTTCGCCATACTGTTCCATCGCCATCCTTCCCATCGTGGCAATTGAGTTAACTGAAAACCAATGTCAGAGTGTGTGTGTGTGTGCGTTGTTTTGTTTGAAGTTGGTTTTGCTTTTGTGGGGGGAATAGGGGAAGAGAAGAAACCAAACGGCAATGCATGGGGATTGTATTTGACTAGTTTTGACTGTATATACTTATCAAGACAATGCCGTTCCGTCTAAGAATCATGCATCAACCGTTTTGCCGGCAGTCATCCCCTGCACCAGGAGCCTCGAGCCTTTTCAAGCAACTGGATGCTGAGGGTATGGGCTCCTTATCACTGGACCAGGTGGCCTTTCTTGACGACTGGGATTTCCAACCAGAGAAAGAATCGCCCCCAGCAACACCGCGGCCGGATGCGACGATGCGCAGCGCTGCCTCGAAGGGGCGTCCATCAGTGAAAAATGTCAGCCTCTTGCAGGAACTGGTTTGGCTCTGGAATGGGCTAACAGTTAACGCCCTGGTGCCGCTGACCCCTTGATTGTTGCAGGAGGTCTCCAAGTCAAGTACTGTAGCGTTTCCTTTTGCAGCTGGAGCATGTGCCGCTGGATGCTACCTCCGAAGTGATGAAACAACGGAACAACACCAAACAGGCGAAAACAATCAACAAGCCAGTGAGGCTCAGCTGATTAATGGAGTTGAAGATCTAGAGTTTCCTTGTTTCGCAATGGTTAGACCTGACAAATTGGCAAAAAGTATATCAGCAATTTTGCCAACATTAAAAGCAATCATATCGACAATGTATACATATATGCAAAACTGGGGGCATTGCATGTAAACCAAGAGATTGTTTCCAGCACGTCGATCGGCGTGACCTCGCAGTTTCGAGACCTGAAAGAGGCACTGAAAGAGGCCACGCGAGTAGTGCCCCCTCCGCAGAGAAGCTGGTCCCTTCCGTAGGCCTGCACCGCCCCGCGCAGGCCTAAACGGGGACCTAGGGGATTTTATCGAATGAAGTGCTGAGGTTTCTCTTGGCGTTCATGCGATCCTCTCACCCCAGTCGATCATGACCAGCTCGCAGGGTGCATTTCATTTTCCCTATTGAACCATTTTTCGTCCCTCGTATCTCCTCGTTGATGGATCAGGGAGCCACCAAGATGAGCAAGCTGAACATGGTTAGACCGAGGGGTCCCACTAGATCACTGGAGACAAACCCCAGCTTCTCAAGAGCCAAGGTCTTACCTAAGGTTCTATTCGTGGTGGACCTAGGTCCAGGAGGGCCTTATACAGTTTTTTTCATGGTGTTTCATCATCGCAGCTGATGACCATGGTGCCCAAAGATTCTTTTGTAACACCAGGGCACCAGGGGCTATCCCGGTTCTGACTAGCCAGCCAGAGATGCCGATGTTTCAATAGATGTTCGATCTGTGGTCTTTCTTACACCCTTGCTTTGGCTTGGAGCTCTTAGAGCAGCGAAACAAACACACAAGCCGATCATCCAGCCATATATGGGCACTGTGCCAAAACTAACGCGGCATGCGATTCAACATGTGATTGAACTGGCACATCATTTCGCGTGTTGTGTTCCTTCTTGTTGCTAGTACTCTTGTGACTCATGTGCTGCGTTGTTTCTGTCAGGACTCGGTCAGGCTTTGCTGACCCAACCATGAACCGAGGCTTTGTGTCTCAGCAAAGCTTTGTGGCATTTCGACGGAAGCACCACAAGCTGCAAGGCGCCGCCAGAGCAGACGGCTCAAGCCGCGGAATAGACCTCGCTGAACTGCCAAATATAAGTAGTTTACCGAAACCGAATTGATGAGGTAAGTCGGATGTCTCCTCACACGTTTTCTCCTGAATTTGGGCAAAACCAAAACCTTGAATGCAAATCGCATGCAAGCGATGGAAAGAAGACCATGTCCTCCAGGGGCTTGGGTTTGCATTTGATGATCATTTCCACAGGGCTTACGGGTTCCATTCAAAGTTGCACGCACCATTCACCAAGGAAAGAAGAAGCAGTCTTTCAAAGGCTTTGAATTTGTTGGACCAGGGCTTTCCAGTTCCCCAGTTAGACCTGAGTCCCCAAGCTCCAAACACGAGATCGGAGGTTCTCCCCCGCCTTCATTGGCTTGTCCGACAGTCACTGCCGGAAACCAGCCCCTTGAAACAGAAGGGTTTTCAATCGGAAGGGTTTTGATGGTATTCAGGATTGAGTGGAATGAATTGGGTTTTGAGATTCCTAGAGATTTGTTATGCGAAAAGATGGGGAACAATGCAAATAGATGTGAAAAATAAAGACATCCTTAAAAACACACATGCAACTGATCAATGAATGAAATCAACTTGTTATAATCGGGATTGGAACTATCTCAAGCAAACTGTCTCAAAGCATCGCAAAGTATCTCAAATTATATCGCAACATATATCATCTCAAAACATCTCAGACAAAAGATCTCAAAGTATCTCAAGCCGAAAGTACTGTTTAAGGGAAACAACACTTGTCCCAGCTCATTTTATCTCAAAGTTCCTCAAATTATCTCAAAAATTATCGGAATACTAAGATGAATTGCAATCACCAGGCCAGATTACCTAAAATTTTATCAAAGCTTCTCAAAATATCTCAGAAGAAGCAACACAGAGAGAGAGAGAGAGACAGTGTCTGGATTGCTGTAGTCAGTTGTCATCTCAAAGCTCCAACTCAGCTGTCACTCATTGCGGTGTGAGTCATAATCAGGATTGTAACCCTGATCAGTTTTTTCAAGTTCTCCTTTTTCATGCAAAACATTTAAAACCAACAATCATTAAGTAAAAACAACATGTCATAGAAAAAAGAAAACATAAACACACATAAAACAAAACCACAATATATAACATAAAGTGCGATATTGTGAGCTGGTGTAAAAAACTTCTGTTTGAAACCCTTCTGTTTCAAGGGGCTGGTTTCCGGTAGTGATACAGGCCAGTGGTTCTCCGTATAGCCCTGTAACTGAAAACATCACCATTAGTTGCCATAGTTTTAGACTTTTATGGCCCTCCTAGCTTGATGGCCTTCGGCCCAAGCACTTTGCGAGGCTTGGCACCTCCAGAGCGCAATTGCTGGCACACCCTCCCCTGCCGCCGGCCGCGGCCACCGTCGCGTGGGCCGAGCACGGGCCTTCCCGGTGCCTATTGCAGCCGTTGCCGGGCCCGAGGAGACGCTCGTCGAACATGAAATGCACACGGGAGATGGGCCATTGACTGCAGATGATTTGATAAATGTTGCCCTCTCCGAATGGCCATCATGGTCCATCATGGCCTCTATATCATAAACTGCCATCTCCGAATAGCCGACTGCGCGTGATGTGGGCCCCATCACCCTCTCTCACGTCTCAGACTGCTGAGGCATGTCGGCATTTTGCCCGCTTGGATGGGGTCCGCTCCCTTGCAGCCTCACCCAGAGCTGCAGGCGGGATCGACACTGGATTCCGGTGGAACCACGCAGATCTGATGCTGAGATATGCTGAGTTTTTATGGAGATGGATGGCGGGATAGCGCATTCTTCATCGCAATGGATTGTATGGCCGAAAACCTGAGAGAGTATAAGACCCCCCCCCCTATGCAAGAAATTAATGTTTGGATTATACACTTATGAATTTACACATTTCTCTACGTTGTCATAGTACGGACTGTCGGTATCCTCAGTGGCTGTGCCACATTTGCCAAAGCACTTTGGAAGGACACAGTATTCTGATACTTTGCGGACGAACAAGAAAAGCCGGCCGCAGCGGAACCTGGCGGAATGTTCAACGCCAAATAGATCTTCAAATCATTTGTATCCGGCTCTTTTGACTTGGATTTCTGCCAATGTCGCAGGCTATGAAATGCTTATGTCGCCTGACCCTCGCGACCCGCCCATGGTGAAGATCAGCCGCTTCCGGTGGCTGCGCGAGCGTCGCGTCGCTGAGCGTGCGGAGCGGCATGAGCGGCCCAAGACCACCCCGGCGGACGCTTGGCACCGGTGGGGGCGGGGGCCTGGAGAGCGAACAGCAACCAACCCAGGCGAACCAGTTTAAAGAGTAAGCGTTCTGGATGATGCACTCATCCAGCCGGCCAGTTGTGTCACTCGCGGGCTTGCAAGGGCTGGTGTAGACCTTCAACCTTACAAGTGCATCCTGATTAATTTCCGTGAAATTCCGTGTTGCACCCTTGTCTCCAAGTGTGATGGGATTGTAATAGAGGCTGAAAGAGAATGTTCGAACGTTCCAGTTCCAGTTTATTCAGTCATTCAGTGCGCTCTTCGGAGAAGGCCTGGGGTGTTCTGCACTATGTTCCAGCAATGGGGTTGTTGGTGCCATCTTTTGCATTGGAGGACTTCCACCACGATGCTGAAGTACAACATGCAGCACTCCAGCGGCTGCCTAGTTGACATGATGCTGCGGCCAGCCTTCTTGCAAACATACCATGGTTTACACAGACAATTTTGGCAGGTTTAATCGCCCACCGCATTCTCACCCATGTCCACATGTTTCTTTTCACTTGTCAAGAAAATCACACAGAGCGCCCATACCAGACAATACAGTTTACAGGAATTTGTCATTTGTTCCAAGGCGCAAAATTCAGTAATAGCAGTAATAGCTCTCATGGCAGGAGTTGGGCAACTATATAAGTATAACTATAGTTTAAACATAGAATATATCATATCAATACATGGCACATGTTGCATGACATTTGAATCTACGCAGTTCTGGCAAACAGCAAGACATAGTTTTCGGGAATCGTGGTATGAAGGTTCTAGAATGCGTGTTGATTGTTTTGAGTCTTGAGATAGTCCTGAAAGACCCTGATATTTTTGGAAGGCCAAGGTCACTGCCACAGACGTCGACAGGCCTGCATGCTACCATTGAGGCAGGCCTGATTCTTACAATTTGTATAAGCCAAACATATCCAAATCTACATCAAGTCAAGTAAGGAAATATGTGCGACAGCCCATGACACGCCTCAGAATGCACATACGTTATGTTTCACCGAGTGCAATATGGTGGCATTCTCTGCTGACCTTACAGGTTCTGGGTATCCATGAGTTTCCTGTTTGCTCTATGACCCCAACTGGTTCGGCGACCAGTGGGGACCTTGTGGGACCTTGTGCGGTTCCTGAGTGTTCCCGAGGTTTCCCATGGGTACAGTGGACTTCCACATGCATTTCCTCGACCAAGCCTCGCGGCAGCTGGTTCAGAGTGCTTACTTTCAGCCCAAAGAGGCCAACAGCTAGACCAGCGGACGGCGCTCGCCGCTCTGGCCTTCGGGGCCGTTTGCCCCAAGACGTTGGCCGAGCTTGCGATCCCGGCTTTTTTCAACTGGCCTGGTGTGGCGTCAAAGGCCACCAAAACCCACGCACTGTGGGAGAACGAAAACTGTTAGAAGATTGTCAGATGTTGACCCACATCCACATGAGCCAGGTTGAGTTGTCCATAGTATCGGAGCAAGTTCTGAAGCATCGAAGGCTGGACCGTTTTTACCTTTTTGGATCAGTGCCTGAGAAATGTTGAGAACAATGAGGGTCATGGCATGTTTGCCATGGCTCTCGACATTCGAGAATTTGCTCGTGATGACTTTTTGTGAGCCTACGCGAAGAGTTTTTAACGGCTTCACTTCCAACATTTTCCAACCCCTTTGTCAACCACTTTTTGTTGAGATTCTTCTATAGACCTTGGGCAAATGTCCTATGCTTCCCAAGATCGAGGGGGGTCGTGCGGCTTGACCCACGCCTCCACCCTTCAGAGACCGTCCGAAAATCCAAGTTTTTGTGCATGACTGCTGTGACTGCTGGGGTTGGAGGAGCCTTTGAGTCTCACTAAAGGAGAACCTTTCAAACAATGAAGGTTCATCGCCGGAGAGGCCAAATCAGACGGGGATGCGTGTTTTGAAGGTTTTGGAGGCACACGGGCACACGGGTTGAGGTGGTGCTGAGGCTTGCAACTGAAATCATAGATTAAAGGACTCGCTATTGACGTGAACCTTTGAGGATTTGTCCTTCATTCATCACCGCTCCATTGCTCCAGAAGGTTTGGAAAGCAAATGTCCACCTTTGGTTTACACTACAGACATATAGACAAATAGAAATATAGATGTGTATATATATATATATATGCACATAGGCTTTGTTTGTGCTCCTCAGGCTCCAAAGCCCAAGGCGAAGGGGAAGGGGAAGGCCAAGGCCAAATCAATTCGGGCAGAGGCATCTCAGATGCACCAAGGCACTGTGCAGACTGCCCCCCCAGTGTGACAAACCGAGATGCAGTTTTCTTCCTTTGCACTCACCCAGTTTTGCAGGAGGTGCGCAAATTCTCACATCCCTCCACCTAGTGTGTGAGATCAGAAATTTGAAGCAGTTACCGCCAGAGTGATGATACAAATTGTCATTAGGTATTGTGTTTTTGGTTTTAGGACTGTCCCTGTGGCGTTGGTGAAGCGCTGGCTTGCTCTCTTAGGCACCGAAAGAGCGTTGGGCAGATGTGGGGAGCCTCGGAGTGTGGGCTTGGTCAGCTGGGGGAAAAGGATTTTGCCTTCGTGTCGGTTGAAGTGCTCACTCTTCCCAACAGTTGGCGAATCTGAATTCGGAATCAGATCAGCTGTTGCTCAGCGAAAGGAAGATGAAAATGATGAAACTCGTGTTTGTGTGTGCGTTAAATATCAAACCTCCGTGGACCCGCCACGGGTGTGCGGGCACCCTGGAATCGGTCAGCTCTTGCCGCATGAGTTTTCTCACATTCTTTGTCGCATCTGGTTTCAGCACCTAGCCAAGCTAAGAAAGTGACGGTGTTCGGTTGGATGAGATACTGGACGAAGCATTTTGCTCAGCGTCGCTCCTGCCGGCAATCATTTGCTGCTGGAGAACATCAACATTTAGTAAACATATTATTCCATGGTATATAGTTTATTTTCATTAATTAATGTTGACATTTATTGTTGGTGGTTTTTGAATAAGGAATTTGTAAAGAGTTTTTATCAAACGGTTTCTTGGCTTTGATGATTCCAAGTGATGAACAGAACAGGGAAGGACGTAAGAACGAATCTAGTTAAGGCACGAACCAATTAAATAAGAACATATAAACATCAACACTAAAGAAAGCATAAGAAAGCTAATTAAGATTTGTTCAGCCCATAAACATTTTTAGCTTTACTTAGGGTATGGTGGCTTCATGGGGGGCAGCAATGAAGAAGTCATCAATTTGCCGCTGAATCAGCAATCACACAACACACTAATACTATAAAGATAAGGCATTTCCCGGGAAAATTTGACCAAATCCCAATGGGGCCGCGATGTTTGTATTGAACTACAACATATAAAACAGTAACATGTTCTAGCAGCAAATTGGGGGGACGATATTTTATCATGACTAGGGTCAGTTTATTGATCCTAGGTCAACACACACAATATGTGTCGGACCGCACGCGCTCTTTCCTCCATTGTGTATTATGACATTTGAAGGATCTCCGAATTCAGTGGCCAATGGCCAACTCCAGCTCAAGTTAGAGCAGATTTGAGAGTGAAGAATTCATTTGGACAAGCTGAGTTGAGGCACCAACTGACGCGATGCACAAGGACATGACACTGTGGCACCTTTTTTCGGGTATGCGTTCATTTGCACCACCAAGTTGTGCCCTTGTTTCTACCACAACATGCTTTTCACGGCGAAACCAGAAAGGATCCAAACCCAAAGGGTGCTACGGCGTGATAAGCAGAGTTGGAACTCTTGACAAATCGCCCCATCCATGCCGTAATGGTTCTCCTGCTCTTGTGTTCAAGACGGCTGGCCACATACCCTCGTTGGTCCTGCAAGCAGCGACTTATGTGGTGTTCATGGCTGTTCGCTGCTGGGCCAATCAACGTGTTAGCTTCATCCTGGACCGATGTGCTGGCAGGGCAACAACGAATGTATCAGATTGACTACGCACATCCGTTCTGGCTTATTTGCTTGCTTGGCTTGGCTTGGCTTGGCTTGCTTGCTTTAGCGGAGGGTTACAACGTAAGCAGAGGCAGACTTGCTGCTATTATTTACTAGTTGAACCAAAAAAAACAGGCTGCCATACACAAACCCGCAAAGATATGGAAGGGACTCATGTGGCTGGCAGCTCAGGCTCATCCGATCAGACAAACACCAAGCTAACTGTTTCATCCTTTGCTCAGAAAATGCACGTTGTCATCTCTTGATTTCTTTGGGAAAGGATTGAGAAGGTCAGTGGCAGAGAGACTGGATCGCCCCCGATCCTCCCCCTCCGCCTCTTTTCCGCCATGCCCCGGCGAATCGCAGAGGTTCCGACTCCATTGGAGGTGCGATCGGTTAGACACTGAAGATCTGTGAGCGCCCACCCAACTTCTGCAACATTTGTCTAGTGGTAAATCATCGGATGGTCCTGGCGACTTTTCAGATGATCTTCAACCTATGGGCTGGAACAGCTTGAAGAATGGAATGCCCTTTTGGCTCACGGATGCTGATGAGAATCAATGAAGTTCTAGAGCTCAACTGCCAGAACTACGCTATCCCGATGATCCTTTCTTCAACCCATGATGACATGTGCTTTGCTCAACCCTTCCACCTCGTGGCCATTGTACTGTAAGGCAACCGTTGATAGACAAAACGGAGGGCAACGACAGGGCCCTCAGGCACTTTGTTTATAAACATGGTCAACATGGTTGCTTTTTATAAACTATGTCATGTCCCTGTTGTCCACAAACGTGTGGAACACACATATATATATATATATTCGATCCTTAACATCCCTTGCTATTGACAAGAAAAACTTCGGAAATTGCAGGCTCCCTCGCATGCTGCACAAAAGCCAACCCCCTGACACCCTGGCATTTGCAGTTTCAGTTTTTATTGAAGATCCTTCAAACCACTGTTCTGTTCTCCTTGGGTGGGCCTGTTCGACGCAGGATTCGGTGATCGACAAGCCAGAGGAGGTGTCAAAGACCGACGTTGCACGGAGTGAGGGCTTGGTATCAAAACTTACCCTAAACTACTAGTAACAAGGTGCCTTACTACTAGTAGCTAGAAGCTACTAGTAACAA